AAACAGCCACTTAGATAAATGTCTAAACTCTGCTCTCAAATCTAGACTGTCTTGAGGGGAAGGTGGAAGATAAGGAGTTTATAAATAGCAAAGTCAAGTTGGATTTTGAGTTTACTAGTCCCTATTCTATTCCTACCCAAACAAATTATATGCAGTTTTCAGTAAATGTAAAAGAGAGAGTAAAAACTCTCAGTAAATGTAAAACAGAGAGTGAAACTTCTCTTTTACTCTTTCCTCTTTTTGGCCAAATCCTCAAAGATGAAGGTAATTGGTCATGTGGTGAGAAATGATGGAAGTAATTGTCAATTGCACTAGTTCTCAGCTAGAACTGTGCATCACCGTAACCTAGGGAAATATAAAAAATTCTACAAAGCTAACCTCTCCACTGATGATTTTGATATAGTAAATCTAATAAAACCTAGACATATATGTTTAAAAATATTTCCTTGGAGCCAGGCATGGTGAAACATGGCTACAGTCCCAGCTACTCAGGAGGCTGAGGTGGGGCTATTGCTTGAGCCCAGGAGTTTGAGTCTAGCCTGGGCAACATAGTAAGACCCCGTCTCTGACTAAATAACAGCAAATTCCTCAAAATTCTGATACATGCCTGGTTAAGAATCACTGAATAGATAAATATAATATGTAAATTGCCATCTCCAAAAACTCTTCTAGAGTTAAGAAATCTCTAGAAGAGTTGGAGTTTGATAGGTACTACTTCCTTTAAATCTCTCCTTTTCAATAATATTAGCCCATTTTTCTTTACCTTTGTGGTTGGGAAGCTAAAAGAAATATTATTGGCAATATCTATCAGCTTACAAAATAACACCTTTTCCTTCCCACTATTAATTATTTACTGACATTCAGAGGGTCTTTATACATTTGCTATGGGTAGTCTTTCTTTTTTAAAATGGTTTTGAGACAGGATCTTGCTCTGTCACCTAGGCTGGAGTGCAGTGGCACAATCACAGCTCACTGCAGCCTCAACCTCCTGGAACTCAAGTGATCCTCCTACCTCAGCCTCCTGAGAAGCTGAGACTACAGACATGCACCATCATGCCCAGCCAATTTTTAAACTTTTTGTACATACAACGTTTCACTATATTGCCCAGGCTGGTCTCAATCTCTGGGCTGCTTCAAGCAGTCCTTCTGCCTCAGCTTCCAAAAATACTGGGATTACAGGCATGAGCTAGTGCACTCAGCCTGGGCAGTATTTCACTAAATGGAGGGTAACCCCTTCAGGACTTCACATCTCTTTGTTACCATTCAGGTGATTAGTCCAATAAATCTTTATTACAAGTGGAGTTTCCTCAATTAGAATTGTAGCAAATTCTAAACCTTTTGTTGTTGTTGAAGCTGCATTATGGGCTACATCAGTATGTCTGTTCATAGAATTTTGGCATAATCAGGATGACAGTTTTAAACTCTGAAAACCATGAAATTACTAAGAGTACAGATATAAATTCTTTTTTCTTTTTTGAGATGGAGTTTCGCTCTTGTCGCCCAGGCTGGAGTGCAGTGGCACGATCTTGGCTCACTGCAACCCCTGCCTCCTGGGTTCAAGAGATTCTCCTGCCTCAGCCTCCTGAATAGCTGGGATTGCAGGTGCCTGCCACCATGCCCGGCTAATTTTTTGTATTTTCAGTAGAGACAGGGTTTCACCATGTTGGACAGGCTGGTCTTGAATTCCTGCCCTCAGGTGATCTGCCCGCCTCGGCCTCCCAAAGTGGTGGGATTACAGGCGTCGGCGACGCTCGGCCGTAAATTCTTTTAATCATTTAGTTTCAACATTCCTATGAACTAAATATCTATTTGGCTAACAATCTCAGAAAACTACTTCCTAATAGATTTTAAACAAATAAATGCTAGAAAAATTATTGAAGTGTGTGGTATGAGTCTTAGTAGCAAATTTTATTACATGTTGGGGACTGTTTTTTTGGTAAAAC